GGACGACGTCTTTGAAGTTTGATATTTTATTGAAGACATCTCCACTCCGGCGACCAACCAGCCTATATTGCTATCATATCTCTCTCTCTCTCTCTCTCTCTCTCTCTCTCTCTCACGGCCAGATTGTTGTTTGCTTTGTTCAAGCGGAGTCTGCTCATCGTCGGCACAAAACATCGTCGTCGGTATGGTTTTGCTACTTAATTTCCCCGTCTTTTCACACTCGTTCGTTCGCTTTAATGTATAACTCGTTTGATATCAGGCTGCATCTAATAAATGGTGACACTGATGTGTCTTTAAATTACGAAATATTTCTACTTGGGTTGTTCTTTCCGCCCAATTTGTGTGCGCACAGACGCGCACGCGATCAAAGTGGACCGGATGTTGGTTGTTGTTGATAATGATGCATCAACAATATTTCATTCAAATCGAAATTATTTGAGCATTCACTTCTCTCTACTGTCGAGTGCATTTCACGCGACTGCACATCACCATTGCCGATTTCTAAATTGATCACTTAAAATGTCTTTCAACTTGGTTAATGTTTCGCATAAATCGTTTGCTTTGCACATGCACACGCACACAAGCAGTTAGCCAAAATGGAAAAAAAATAATGATTTTGTCGCAAAAGGAAATTTAATCAACAAGAAGATGACGGGAAAAAAAACGTCGAATGAATGTTTGAAATGTGAAAGAAGTGGAAATGGCACACTCTCACAAAACCCAATCACATTGCCTTGTCAAGTCAAATCAAAAAGTGTGTTTGGTCTATCTTTTGCTGCAAAAGTGGATTCGGAATATGGTAATTTATCAGTCATCGTTTCCATGGTCGCCCCGGTATCTTTTTGATTGTTTGTGTTTTTTTTTCGTACATAGCAAAACTCGACCCAGCATCAGCAGCGTAAATATCGTGCTCCATGGTATGTGATAATTCAATTTAATTAGGTTAAACAGCGGGCTAAATTATCACACAGAATCGCACTGCAAGAGATGAACAGTAGATGAAAAAAATATATATATGAATGGCTAGATAAATAAAAGAAATGTTACGTTGTGAGGATGCGTGCACTCCCGGCTCTTTTTATATTCGTGCATGGCAATATGCCCACTCGTCGAGCGCACTCCAGCCGAGAAAAGAAGCGATGTAAAAAATGCCGAGTGTTTGAAGAGAAAAAAAGCGAACGAAACGTGAAATCTCCGTTGTGAAAATGAAGATGAAAAAAGGTTCCGCTTCGGAAAAAAAAAACTGGACAAAAAAGCAGCAAGACAATGGAATCGTTTATCCAGTGCAAAGGCATCAAACAAACGATGCGACAGGATATAGAAAAATGAATTGTAACAGTCAATTCGCACGTAACAAAAACCAAAACTGGAGACGAAGAAGATAAAAACTGAGAAAAAGAACACACATTTCTAATTCATAAATGAAATGTGTGAACAATGGCAAATAGATACGGAATACGCACCATTGCAAGGAGCATGACACTGACGAATGTGCACGCAAGACATCTGAATGGATGCAGTGGCAAACGAACGGGAAAGAGATTGAGAGTGAGGGAGTGGGAAAGAAGAAGATATGGTAAATGATCAAGACAAAAAGGAACAACTTATGAATTGAATCAAAGCAAGGTGATTCATTACCCACTATGTCACTTCCGTTGCTATTTCTACGCATTTTACTATTATCACTCATGCATTTGTACAATTGTCAGTTTTTGTGTTTTTCTGGCTCGATCAACATTTCTACGTGCCCAAAATGATGCCTAACGTTTTTGCGCATCGTTTTCCGAACAACACGAACCCAATACGAGACTCTCTCTCTCTCTCTCTCTCTCTCTTCACGCACATAAACAAACAAACGCATCGAAGGACAAAACTCCGACTTGGTCGGAACCAAAAATCATTTCTCATTGTGTGTATTTTTTCCCTCGCTGCAGTGTGCGTGTGAATATTATGTTTTGTCGAATGTACGCATGATGTATGTATATTTGCTGCTCGGTTGATGTACAATGTACATATGTATATTTGTTTTGCGTTTTGTGTGTTTTCATCCCACTTTGTTTGCACCTATATGCCTGGATACTGTCGCTGGATTACCACCACCACCATCAGAAGCAGCAGCAGCAGCAACGAGAATCGTAGAACCGAAGAAGTAATCTGTCTTTACAATGGAGTTGTGAAGAATGAAGAGAAAAATGAATTTGCTCTCTCCTCCTCCTCTCTCACTCTGTTTCTTTGATTTAGTCAACCTTAAACGTTTTCAATTGAGACCATTGTGATAGAAATGGATTGTGTGTATGTGTGTACGCCTTATACTTCTGTTGACACTTGTGAATGAATGCGTAAAATCTTTGCAAATACTATGGCAAATAGTAATTTGTGTCGAAACGAAAAAATTGCATTCGCCCGTAAAGAGCATGTCTTTTCTTGACAGTTCGAGTTTATTTTTGACTCAACCAAAATAGCCCAAAAAATACAACAATAACAAGAAGAAAAAAACATATTTCGGGAAAAATCCCAAGTAGTCACAATTGTTTGTCGAAACGAAATACATGTGCACACAATTATCGCCAGATTTCTATTTTATGACCATTGAAGGCATATTGCGCTATGCGTGCAGACATAACATCATCATCAATCCTTGAAAAAATGTCGCGTGCTTTTATTTCCTCCTTGTTTAATCACTGAAGACAAAACTCATTTGACCGGGAGTTTTTTTCTTCTTCTGTTGATTAAGCATGTAATTACACAAATTGCCGCAAAATCTTTGCCCATTATCAAATGAATTTTTTCCTCCTTCTTCTGCTCGCATGAAATATGATTCTAAAAAATAAGAAGCGAAATAACATAAAAATAATATAATCAGTTACAATGACGGAAATAAACTGAAATTTAAGTGAGTTGCCATCTGCAAGAGACAAGCATTGTATTTGCATTGTTGCTTAGATTCAATTCATCACTTTTATTTTCGAGTTAATTAAAATTTGTTCGGCAAATCCTTCGCCAGGTTTCTTCTTCTGCGTTTTCGTAAATATTTACATTGATTTCTGTTCATTTTTTTTCACTTGCAAATCATTGAATTTGAAAGACCGAGACCATTTCCATTATAGCCGCATTTATACCACTGTGCTCGTTCACTAAATCTATGGATTAAATATTTCCATGCGTACTTTTTTTCTCTCTCGTTTATATTTTTGTTACATTTGTTGAATAAATATAGTATTTTCCCTTTTCCTTTAGCGACATTCATTGTTATTACATCGATTTTCATTTTTTGTTTGTATTTTATTGTATTTCAATCTCTATATAGATCATTTCGTTCTCACACCATTCGAAAATAAAGGAATATTGGTGTTGTTGTGCGCATTCGCTTAGATCGCATTTTGTTTTCCACTCAATTGTCTAAATCATTGAATATATACCAGCAATCGGTATCCATTTGTAACCTACACGTTATGATTTTTTTTTCCTTTCTTTAATCCCAATGAAACTGAAATAAACCATTCATAATTTCGAATGGAGAGAGAGAGAGAGAGAGAGAGACGATGGAAAAAATGCCATACACAACCAAATAAATAAATGTTATTTTAAGCCGAAATATTGTAAAAAAAAAAATGCGCTTTCCAACTCTCGTAGAAAATAAAAACTACAAAATGGAATAAGGGTATTAGTCGATGTGCCGGCAACACTGCATGAATGAAAAATTATCGAGAAATAAAGAAACAGAGAACGAGAGAGAGAGAGAGACGGAGAGAAAAAAAAACTGAGAATAAAGACGATTTTGGATGTTGTGTTTTTTTTCGGTGCCCCTTATATTGGTGTTTATGTTTGTAGATTGCAATCGAAGCCCATTGAATGTAATGTGGTATGTGAAAACGGTTCATTGCATGAGGTATGAACTAAAGATTAAAACATATTGGCCTGACTTATCTTCGCTAGAGACTGTGTATCGATGTGTTGTTTTTCGTTTCTTTTTTTCCTCACAAATCTTTCGTCGCAATGTTGTTCTTATTTATAGTTTTAAAAATGTAAGCACATATGGTACGACCAGAAATTTGCCATAAAAAAAAACTTTATTGGATAAACAGATTTCGAAGATTAGTCAAAGTCAGAGAATTGCATTCGCTAGTGCTGGCACAAAAACTGATTACGAAATGCTTCGTTCGATTCATCGTTGCAAATACATTTCGAAACATTTAGTTCGTTCGTTCAGAGGTATAAAATTGAAGAGCCACCGATACAGCCACCAAACATGCCTTGTTTCTCCTTTACGCAATGAATTCAGTTCATTCGTTCAGGGGAATCGACATTCGATTGGGTTCATTTGGTAGCGTAGAATTCTGTATGTGTGTGCATATAACCAACGGAGCGACCGGCTACCATCGATGCGTATTTTGGAAATGAGTCATTTCAAACGGCTAGACATTTCAATGAAGAAATGAATGAAACATAATTTCATTAACCATCTGGTGCGCAGATGCGACCGAATGAACGGCATTCCCCTTCTGCTTGTGTGCCACACATTGCACGACAGACAGACCGTACGTGCCACTCACACATCCGCAATGCGAATGCTTACGACAAGAGCGATGAACCATCAATGAAATTTTAACAGTGTACAACTGGCTGGCTGCTTTGTTCACTTTGGTCCTATATTTTAAGTCGTCGTTTTTCTTTCGTTGCTTCTTTTCTCGTTTACCTCCGTTTGGAATTCCTCTCGAAGCAATCGTTGCAGTGGTTTATACGGAGCAACAGCAAAAAAGCAGCAGCAGCAGCAGCAGCGGCAACACACAAACACCAAAAATGAACGCTAAAGGCGCGCACGGTTCCGCACACAGAATGTGGATATATGCGTGTGTGCACGATTCAAATACTCCAGAGACAGTTCTCCGGCGATGATTTTCGACTTTGCTTTGCTTTGTTTCTCGAATCACACATGAACGTACATGTTTGCGTTGTGCATTTTCAACGCTGAGGTTTGGCCCGTACGCAATACGATCGTAAAATTCAGTCGACGATTGTAAGCCGTACCGTTCAGACGTTTTTTGGCGAATGTGCTTCGCTCTTTCGGTTTCGGAATCAGAACAAGCAAGAAAACAGAAGAAAGAAATAGAGAAGAAGAAGGAGAAAAAAAAAAGCAGTGAATTGAAAATCCATTAACTTCAAACGAAAAACAACAACAAAAAATAAATTAGTTCAATGAAAGTAAATTGCAAAGTTGAAGAAATAAAGAAAAAAATCACTAAACAAACCAGGTTTTTGACTGTTTGTTGAGAAAAACGACCGCAATTCTGGAATGAAATTAATTGTGTGCGCTGCTCGTTTGGGCAAGAGAAATTTCGTTTACGAAATGTGCTTGTGAAATTGAATTTGTTGAAGGCCAGCAAAGCAACAGAAGTAAACCAAATGAAAACGGAGAAAACTCATTAAAATTAAAGTGAATAAAGCCGAGAATTGAATGTGCTTCACATCAGCATAAGATGTAACACAGGAAAATTCACTGCCATATCAAAAGTCTAACTTTCATATCAAACGCAATATCAAGGTGACACTGAAAAATATTCACCAAATCCAGAGCACAAGGAAGTTAACGTATTTATTGAGTGTATACTCTCGAAATAGAACATAATTTAGTGATTAAAACACAAATAATAGCTGCGAGTAAAAAAAAAAAAGTTTAGCCAATTTAGTAACTCTGGTCTCGTGCGTGCATATAATCAAAAGTATCGTAAATCACGCCGTATTTTGTGAAGAAAAAATTCATCCAAAAACACCGAATGTGGCATAGAACTGAGGCAAATAAGCAAAACGCAAAACATAAAACAATGAACACATTACCAAAGTAAAAGTGGATTATCAGTGATTAAAGTGATTAAGAGTGCTTTTAAGCGAATGTGCAAGTCAATACACACACAATAAACCATATACATTCATTGTGCAAATTGATTCAATTTGGCAAAATCGACGACCGACTAAAATTGTGCTAGAAAATAACAACAAAAAAAGATAGCCGCAATTAAACAATTTCCACATAAATAAATCGGGTTTTAACTGCCATTGTGAGAGAGTTCATTAAATTGGAATTACGGCAGTGGTGAAAACTCGACCAAAATAGCTTTCCAGTTATGTAACGATGAAGCCAGCAGTAGCACATTCGAAAACCCAATGAAATGAGAGCGAATGTCTAATTCACACTGTTCAGCGATGAAGTAAAACAAAGAGATAGTAGAAAAATAATAATCAATTTGATCTCATTCGATGTGAATATGTGTGATGTGCATTTGAGAGACTAATGACTCACAGCAAATTACATAATGACCAAACAACGTTTAGTTGCAAATAAATAGAAAAAAAAACAAAGAAACAAAAAACACATATCCAAATGTTTGCTAAAGACCAAAACCAAGTGAATCGATCAAGTTTAGTTTTTTTTCGTCAACAGTCTTAACCAAAGTTTTTTTTTAGTTCGTTCATTTTTTTTTCTCTTCGATTCTTCAACGCATAACAATAACATTCGCTAAGAAAGCAAAATGACATCGACAAAGCGTTATTTCGTTAGTGAATTGATGTCAGTTGCACTTGTAATGCAATTGGTAGTGCTGAGCGCGTTGATCAGTAGCAGTGCTGGATCATCGTGTCATTCGGTGTGCGCATGCAAGTGGAAAAGTGGCAAACAGACTGTCGAATGCATCGATCGCGCATTGATTACCATTCCCGAAGATTTGGATACCGAGACACAAGTGTTGGATATGTCTGGAAATAATTTACAAATTTTACCACGTGACACATTCAATCGCATCGGTTTGGCGAATTTGCAAAAGATTTATCTGCGCAACTGTCGACTCGGTCAAATTGATAGCGAAGCCTTCAATCTGCTCACCAATCTCGTCGAATTGGATCTATCAAATAACTTATTAACGGCCGTACCATCAGCTATTCTCGCATCTCTTCCAGCATTACGAGACCTGTCACTTGCGGGCAATCCAATCCAAAAGGTTGACGGTCACATATTTAAGCTACCACTCGAGCTCGTCAAATTAGACTTATCACATTGCGATATCCAAACAATTGCACCCGAAGCATTCAAAGGCCTCACAAAATTAAAAGCGCTCAAATTGAATGGCAATAAACTGAATGAACTTCGGCCAAGAACAATCGACACCCTCAGCAATTTGGTTGACATTGAGCTACATGATAATCCTTGGATATGCGATTGTCGTCTGCGCGCTGCTAAAATATGGTTGAGCGAGAAAAATATGCCATATCATGTAGCTCCTGTGTGCCGTAGTGGTCCAGAGCGTGTCATCGATCGTACATTTGATGAGCTCACCGAAGATGATTTTGCCTGCAAACCAGAAATGATGCCCGTCAATCGTTTCGTCGAATCATTAACTGGTGAAAATGCAACAATCACATGTCGCGTTCATGCAGTTCCATCGGCCACGATAAACTGGTATTGGAATGGTCGACCGCTATTGAATGGATCGTCGTTTAGTTCGTATCAAAAAGTGTACGTTTTGGAAGATGGCAAATTCGAGAAACAAAGTCGTCTCATTTTGTCCAACGCTCAAGACACCGATTCGGGCGATTTCTATTGTGTAGCCGAAAATCGAGCGGGCAGCACCGAAGCCAATTTTACACTACATGTTTCGGTCAAAACAGCCGGACTATCGCCGTTTGGCAGCAATCAAATTGTTGGATTAACTGCTGCTCTTATCATTTTAATGCTATTCATTTTGGCAACATCATTCTTCTTGTTACTTCGTGTGCGTCGTGTTCCATTTACTGAGAGTAAATCACCCGGTCACTTGGAGGTGATTACAACGGCAAATCCGCAAGTGGCTGCCAATGGCAAACCAGCATGTAACAACTTGTACGTCGACACAAACAATGTAAATGCTGCAAATGTTTTGAACGATCGAAAAGAGGCGAATGACCTTAAACTGGCGAATCCAGTTCAAAAACCACCTCGTCTCACCGACATCACCTATTCAACAAGTCATTACGATGCAAATGGTAGCATTATTTCGGGTGGTGGTGCATTGTTTGGATCACCAACAGCTTCGGCTGGCAACAATCCCGATTTAATCAACGACACAAAACGTTTCGGCAGCGGTGAATTCAATCCGTTGACAATTGATGCCGCCAATTTACAAATCCCAACCACATCTCAACAAAACTGTGATTCAATCGAGCGGCATGGCAGCGGTGAATACAGTCGGGCTGGCTGTGATTCGCTGTATCCGTCGGGACTTTGGGAAACAAATGCCGCAAATCTAGCACAAAATCAACAAACGCAACATAGTTTAGCGGCAGCCGCTCAAGATTTGTATTTGAAACGAGCGGCCAACTCAGCACTGCGTGGATTCAACGGTAGCATCTATAGTGAAAAAATGCCAATCATCGAGAACATTCATAGCGTAAATTTTGACGACGAAACATCCGCATCGGCTGACTATATCAGTCGAACATTTCCACGAACGGCAATCGCTCAACATTTAGTTAATAGTAATGGAATGCGCAGTAGTGAAAATATGATGGTCACCAGTGAACAAAACGATAGCGTAATTATGAATAATAACAATAATTTGAATAATTTAAATAATATGGCCGTTGTAACGAGTGGTATAAGTGCGAGTTTGGCAACAAGCAGTAGTAGCAGTACAAGTGGTTATCCATCTGACTATGGTTTGCCCATTGTACCCGGTGCTGAACATCATAAATCACGTGAAGCATTGCCACCGTCTGGAATAACGAATGCAAAAACTCTGCGAGTATGGCAACGCGGTGGCATTCCTGTGTTACCCCCTGTCACCGCATTGAAGCGAGCTTTAACCAGCAGTCGAAATTCACCGGACGAAGGATACCAAGAAGGTTGTGGCACAGACGTGTAATTTCATTTTATCATATAAATATTAGACTAGATACACGTTTACCTACTAATAATAACACTCCCTTAAAACATGAACGAAAAAGAAAAGAAAAATAAAAAACAATAACAATACACGGAAAATCGGAAATAAATTCCCTTCTGAACAAAAGAAAAGCCAAAAAGAAAAATCAATTGAGTATCATTCGTTCGAATTTACACATTCAAAATTCAGATAATCGAAGGGATAATGATTAGAATTAACGATAAAAAAAAAACACTGAACAACCAATCATATTATATGATATGGATCGAAAGCCGTTTAACGCGATTCCATGTATTCATAATGCAGGAGGAGAAAATTAGAAGTGACTCATCACACAAACACAATATTTATATTTTTCTATTTTATACGAATATGATATCACTCCAATTATTTGACAAGTTACTTTTCTTTCTTTCTTGGAAATAGTTCCGTTTCATTTATTCCAATAACTGTCTTTTATGAATTTTCAATTTTTTTCTATCAAGTTTTTATAGTGTTTGGAAAGTGAACAGCAGCAATGTGACTAACGTTCAACCTTTTCACACAGGAATTCATGTTTTCTTTTTTCTTTTTTCTATGTATTCATGAGTTTTTGATATAGACACATGCATAGGTTACGTTTTTATGAGAATCGAGTGTTCAAATTGTTTTAATTCATGCGCGTATATTTTTCTATGGCTAGTCCAGTTTATTTTGATGTGAAAGGAGAGTTTAATTTGAAGGGCGATCACATTTTGAAGGCGTCGATCGTTCTAGTCAAATAGTCGTTTTATGGCATTAAATCGCGGATAATAATAATTATTATACGAACGAACACACAAACACACACACAATAACAAAAAAAAAACAGAACAATATATATGATGTATGTATTTTAAACGTAAACAAAAATGTTGTCTCATCTGCGGTATGGAACACGGTATTTCGAAAGCAAAACATTTGCGATATTTTATTTGTTGTCGTCATATTTTCCTCAGTACGAATCCAGAATAATAATTTTTGGATTGTGATTTGTCGGCTCTTTCTTTTTTTTTTGTTGGAAAGGAATAATGAGAACCAGAAAAATTAGCCGAATCGAAAGTCGAAGCGATTTCTCTTGAAAATGGGATAGTCGATATGGATATGCTAGAACCATATATGAATGTGAACGAAGCGCATTGGCCTAAAACAATTATTTAGATTCTCGTCACGTCAAATGAAATATCGCAATGTTGTTGTTGTGTACTGTGCTCGAAAAGCCTTGACATATCACGGAACGAGTAACAAAAGAGCGGTGTATTATTTGAGCGGTGAGATAAATGTGTATTATTTTTGTCTATTTTTATTTCTCCCGATAGAAATCGTTAATAACCCAAATAAAATTGTATGAATTTACTCGTGACAACTGACGAAGAAGAAGAAGGAGAAAACAAGACACAGACCATTTAAACTACTAAAAGAAAATGTGGCAAATTAAATGAGCATTTACTAAACGTATTTAATGTCAAAAAAAAGAGAAGAAAACAAACGATGGAAACGATTGAAGGAGGTGAAGAAAAAAAACACAGGCATTGGGATGCTGTTTATTCCATGCATAGTTTTAAGTAAACATGAAAAAAAAACAGAAGAAAAAACACAAACGAAAAGACTTGTATATACGAAATTATCATTAAATTCCAAATTGAGGTTATTTAAATTTGGTTTAACTTAGAGGAATGAAATGTAACGTGTGTTCGCCATAATGGCGAAATGTTCTTTTTTGAAAATTGGATTGATAAATTCCTTCAACCTAGTAGGTGTACAGTGATAAAAAAAAACCCTAATTATTAAGATATTTAATGAACAGAAACAAAAAAAAATCATATTTCATGAACAAAAATAAAATGATGAATAAATAAATTAAAAAAAAAACACATCCATTCAAAGAATCACAAAAAAAATGTTACTAATTATATCAGATAATCCAAAAACGGTATTTCACTTAGCACAATAGCTCTACAGATATATATCTATATGTATCAAGAATTTATTCATGGAACCTAAAGAAACAAATAAAACAAATGAACAAACAGAAAAAGACCGACAACCATACCGCATATACCGGGAATGTAAGGAAAAATCACATTTGTAAATAAAGTGAATGATTAAGAACCGAACAAAATGAAACAGAAAAATTACATAAAAAATATAACCAGAAAGGAAAAAAAAAAAAAACAAAAATTGGAAATAAAATTCCGATATATTGAATCGAAAAAAATACAAGAAAAATGCGTTTTTACTTCATTTTACTGTACGGAACATTACTTGAAGAATCTGAGTGAAAACAGACACGTTTTGATGTTTATATATTGAACAAGATATATACTGGAATCGACAGCCGTGCACTCTGTTCAACATGCGCGCACTCTTGCTCACACTCAAATTCTTTTGCAGAACACGAAGAACAGCAGCAGCAGCAGCAACAACAACAAGAAGAAGATGAGAACGGAAAACGAGAGATTCTTTTATGTAGGTAAATCAAAAAATCAGACTCGCTTGCTTGATCATCGAATGCGTTCATTAAACTCAATGGCATCCGCTGTGCCGTTGTCAAACGAACGAACGAAAAAAAAAACACACACGAACTCTATGAACGCCAATTACACTCGAAGTTAATATAATCGGAAACTGATTCAACGCACATCAACAACAATGATCAGCAACAATCTATATCGAAATGGATTAACGCAGCAGTAACGAAATCTAGGCGAAACAAAAAAAAAATGTATGACATAAAAACAAGGCCTTTCAAACAACGCATTTTTATGTTCCTCCTTTACCTTTTTCACTTCTTTTCGGCTCACGTTTTTTTCTTTCTTACTTTTATGCTTTATGTGGCTTGGTTCTGTTTTGCTTTTCATTTCGTTTCGCGTTGCTTTGTTTGTGTTGGCTTTTTTTCGGCTGTGATTTGATTCGATGCTTGGTTTATAAATTGATGATGCGGTAAGCGTAATCGTAATCGCACTTAATAATAACCTGAAACAAACACACACACACACACCACATCAGATTTAATGGCAGGTCTGAACAAAGAGTCAGTATAGCGATAGGCGCGCTCATTTTGAATGAGCAACAGCCAAGAAACAAATCGTAATTTACGTGCACTGCATACCGTTTGCGACGTTGTCATTTGAGAACCCATATTTTCAAGTTTTCGTTACATCTCGATCTTTGAATTTTGCAAAAGCAGAAGAACAAGCAAAACAGCAAAAATACCATTTTGATTTCAGACATACACAAATTTTTCTACGTCTGTTAATTTCGTGTCGTTGAGAAAATGAAGAGAATACGCAAACGGTATTCGAAAGTAAATGAGTTGATTTATTTAGATTTGCGATGTGAATCGATGTACATTTCATGAATAAATGCTCTTTGATGGGTAAATTTCTACAGTTTTTGAGACTTCATTTAAATTCTTTCAAGATTCCGATACTTTTATCGAATGCTTTATTGTTTGAAAGTGAATTACACGCTCACAGTCATATTCCACGTGTTTCAATTTATTAATATTAATTCGAACGATTCTTCTTTTGAAAAATTCAAAACACGAGATCAGGACACACACACACACACATTCGAGTGACACAAAAATCATTAAATTATTATAAAGCCATTTTTGGTTTTCAACAATTAAAATTGACTTTTGTCTGGTATTTCGAGTCAATTTGAATTGTAGTGCATTTTAATTACGTCAGCGAAGCAGTTAAATGGTCTCAATAAGTTATGATTGTGATTGATTTTTCAATTTTTTTTTTTTTCGTTTCTCTGTTCAAATGAGTAATTTTGGAGAGTGGCTACTTGAAAAAAGTACCCGGAACGATTTCACTTTGAATATTTTATGATTGAACCGTTAAAATTTTACGCGACGGCATAAAAAACGCGTGTGTTGATTCGACAAAAGCAAAACTTTGTATACGTTCTCCCTCTCTGTGTGTAATATTGATTGTAGCTTTCATGGCATTCCGAAGACGATTAATGGAACAAGTGTGTAATTGTCTTCAATCAAGTCATGCTCTAAATTTAGGGAGAAAAAAATCAATCGTTGTTCGTTTCGATCCAATTTGGTGAGTGTGAATGAAATGCGCAGTTTATACATACTTCGTCAGTTGTACTAATTGCTCGAAAAACATCGAAACCAGAAGCTGATAAATGCCACCACATATCCACTTCGGTACGTGAACATGAAAAACTCACCATTTCCGTATAAATCTCCCTACCCTGTGCTGTGCGCTACACATTCGCTTTAACACAGCCCCACAGTTATCAATCGTGATTTTTTTCGTCGTTGTTTATCCTAGAAAAAAAAATGCATTGAAGTCGCCTGTCTACCTTTGGAGTGTGTTTATCGCAATTGGGTTCATCTCTGTCCATTGACTGTGTTGTCTTGATGTGTGAAAATGTGTGATTCAGCTACATGGCGAACAGACAGAAAGAAGGAGCGGTGGAGAGAGAATGGAGTAGCAAAAAAAAAACAGATGTCGAAAATCCTTTTTAACTCTCAGCGACAACCAATTTCAATTACGGTTATTTATTGTAGTTGCTATCGCTTTCGATGGCTCGGAATCGGAATAATCGCTACGAAAACGTTTCGCACACATTCACATGCGAATGTGTCGAAAGCTAAACTACCTAATGTTGAGATGTAGCAAGTGCTTTCATTTTGATGTTTTTTTTTTTTCATCTTCTTCTTCTCGGCGCTACCATTGTTGTGGTGTTGTTGTTGTTGTTGTTATGCAAGATCCGCTTCACCACCGAAATGCTGATATCAAGCTACAGAATAACAAGCGTATTGGCTACGTGCATACAGAAACATTTACTCTTCCATCTCGAATAATCTCTTGTCGTTTGGTTGCTTCAGATATTTCGATGTCTTCGATGTTTTGGTTTAGTTTGCAGTTCGTCGTCCTTGTTGTTAACCGATATTACATTCAATTCTTGTCTTTTTTTTCTCCCGCTCTCTCTCCCTCACGCTCTGGCTCTCCCGCACTTTCGTACACATTGTTTTTCCTAACAAGCACATGGCTGACGTTCACTTCGTTATTTTTCCGTTGGCATGTTTCGCTTCGTTTAAATTCAATGGTTTTTCGATACCAATTTTTCCTGTCGCGTTGTTTTGTGAGAGTGTTTAGTGTTTTGTCGTTAGGAAAAGAGATAGGGCGAGAGTGAGAGAGAGAAAAAAAACACAACTGCCATACATTAGATTGTCAGTGGAATATCTAAATATGTACGATATAGCTGTGAGGAGGATGTGGATGCATCGACGCTTTCGATCCGATTCGGATCCAATACGAAATGCCATTTCAATCATCAATTTTCATATATATACACCATTCGCTATTCGCCATTCGCAATGGTACCAACGAATTGTTTTTTATACAAAAAAAAGGGAGATGATAGCCACGAAGAAATAGTAAGCGACACAGAGAATGAAGAGCAAAATCAGAGTGATACAAACACAGAGTGTGTGTATGTGTGCTGGGATACGACGTGCTATGCACGACAACTACGTAAAGTTTTTCCCTTAAAAAAACTGACAAAACACTACATTGTGCCACATTCGTAGCCGTAGCTGGCAGACAACTTTTGAAAAAGATTCAAGCGACACATGGCATAGATAGCGATTGATTTGATGTCCCGAAGCAATATACGAAATTCAAACAACTGAAGCTCGGTGCAAAACACGGCGAAACGAGACGGGCGCAACACTCTCACTCATATGTATGCAGTAGACAATGGAATAACCATTTGAGATAACATTACGTTTACGAATTAGTTTCGATGACGATATTCCGATGTCGTGCGCAGCTAGTAAAAGCTTACTATTTCTCACTCTCCCTCACACTCAGGTTTTCAAGACTGAAAGTTTTCGGAAAGTGATTCATCGAAATAGAAAAAGTGGCGATGGATACGAGACACGGGGGCAGAGAGCACAAGAGAAAACATTGAGGGCCACATTACTTTTTATTTCCACTAGAACTGTTTCAAATCACATTTTTTTCTACGTATTCGACCATTTTTCCCGAAGATACTCAACGTGAAGTGCTTTTGAAACGTAAAACGACTACTCAATTCGGTTGCATTCAGCGAAAGCAAGTGAAAAAAAAAGAACAACCTGCCTCTTGATAGACAAATTTAATGTTTCAATTTCAAAGTAGTTCAACTCTTTAGAGCGTCCGTTTCAATCGACGTTACGTTTGCAAAAAAAAAATGAAGAAGAGAATTGCATAGCATGTAAATGGACCACACAGTCGAGTAGATTATGTCACAGTTTCCAAGCACTTGCTTGCCAGATTATTTGAAATTGATTGTCGAAAAAAAAATGGAGGAGAGCAGGGAAAGAAAACAACGAAAACCAATTGTAAACTATGGGTTTTCGTGGTTCACAAGCAACGGGCAAGTCAAACCACACTTTGGGAGTATGTCTTTTTTGCGCTTGGCTAATCAAAAAATTTCCATTGTGTGTCATTCGCTCCATTCTTTCATCTCCACCATACACACACACACATCATGACCAAAACGGTGGAAAATGTTTCGTTTGCGTCTCTGTTTTCATCTGGACAACATCTTGTCGTACTATTTGTCCGTGGCAATTTTTTTTGCTTTGCTCTATTCAAATTAAAGCGCTACACATCGTTGAATTCACGCCAGTAAATGAGACAGAAAGCCAAATGATTTTGTAATGTAGAAGAAAAAAAATCCAATAAACTTATCGAAAAGGAAGTTAAAGAGACTCTGCAGTGTTTGCGAGTTTTACTTCATGCGGAGTTGACGCTTGAAATGACAGTGGCTGAACCATTCATTGTCTGGACCATGGTAAAACAATTCATTTGCACTGTTGTTGTTGTTCTTTGGTTGTGTGAAACGTGTCTCTTGTTGTGTTTCGTGATGCGTTGAAGTACACTTTAATGAGTTCAGAGCGCGACTGTGTTGAATCGCTTTGGGATCAAATAACTTTGAAAATTGCGACTTTGACGCTGAAACGATATGCTCGCGTATATTTTTGCTTGCCGTTGTTTTCTTGCTTCATTGCTAATTATTGCTTTGGAAAACAATTCATTTTACTTTTTGACATACCTTGTTTGGCGATGGAATTTCAACCGAATATTATGATGGCATGAACAGTGAACACACCAAAAACACAGTACGTCACACATCAAATACGCCAAAACGTTCAACAGATAAAGATTT